TCTGAGTTCCCTTAGTATTTATAGATAATTATCTTTACCATCTTAAAGATCAGGGAGTGGCAGGACAATAGGATCGTTTTTAGGGAGGAAATCAGCAGTAAGACATAAGAACAAGGATCTCTGTGACATGAATAAGTTTAAAGGAAAATCCTGTGCCTAGAGATAAACCTTTTAGCAGCATTGTTTCATCCTATCACATGGGGATAAACGTTGGACAATACCTAGCTTTTCTGGGAACAAAAACACACCCTGCACGCCCAAAATCCATTAAACTTTGAGTTACCACAGCACATGTCTCTTGCAAGGACAAGGTTGGGGGTAGGGTCACAGATTAACAGCATCTCAAATACAGAACAACATGGAGTCTCTTATGTCTACTTCTTTCTATATAGACACAGTAACAGGCTGATCTCTTTCTTTTCCCCACAGTAAAAGCAACAGAGTTTGGGGACTGGTTCCTACTCTAGCAGCCTGGGGACCAGTGGGGCCATTCAGGGAGCTGCAGAACCCAGTAGGAAGGAAGGTCAGGTCTGGGGTAAAGGGAACAGCAGGAGTTCAGCTGTTGCCACTTTGCGTCTGCATCTCACCAGCTGAGGCGTTCACTTGAACTCCTCAGGCACAAACACTGCTCCTCATCTTCATAAGCACACAGCATCTAGGACAATGCCAGGCACAGCCGCTGCCTCATGCATGACTCTGAACTGTCCCAGCCCTGGGTGCCTGGTCTCTGGCAGCTCATGGCTCCCTCTTCCCTGCCCCAAATAAGAGGAGACAGGCTTGAAGAAGACCCATCACTTTATTTTTTTGAGATAGAGTCTTGCTATGTTGCCCAGGCTGGAGTGCAGTGGCACGATCTAGGCTCACTGCAAACTCTGCCTCCCAGGTTTAAGCAATTCTTCCACCTCAGCCTCCCAAGGAGCTGGGACTACAGGCTGTGCCACCATGTCTGGCTAATTTTTGTATTTTTAGTAGAGACATGGTTTCTCCATGTTGGCCAGGCTGGTCTGAAACTCCTGACCTCAAGTGATCCGCCTGTCTCAGCCTCCCAAAGGATTGGGATTACAGGCATGAGCCACCGCGCCTGGCCTGAGACCCACAGCTTCTGTAGAGCTCTTTATAGTTTGCACAAAGTACCTCCTCAGCTGCTGACACTCTTAATCTTCATAAACCCTGGAGAGATCAGTGAGGCTGAGACAATTAATCCCCATTCTAAAGACAAAGGTTCAGAGAGGTCAAGGAATGTGTCCAAGTTCACACAGCTAGGAGTGCTAGATCTAGGACTTGAACTTGGATCTCCATACTCCGCATCTTGAGTTCTTTTCTCTGCTCCTTGGGACAGCCCCCCACCCCGAGTGACAACATTACGTACAAAACTGCTCCACACATTGCAGAATGAGCATCTGTTCCTCATCCTCAAGGGTGTCAAGTTGAGAGGCCTGGAGGGAGGGAGAGAGGAAGGGACAGGGAAGTCAACACCCCCTGCTATCGGGCACGCCCTCCGCCCCCATTCTCACCTCTTCTCTCAGCTGATGATTCTCCTCTTCCAGCAGCCTCAGCTTCTCCTGCAAGGCTTCCAGCTGTGGGCAGTGGTGCTGGTGCAGCAATGCCTCCGTGAAATCCTGGCGGAAGGAGGAATGGGAGTCAGGGTGCAGAGAGTGGGGCTTCCCAGTTCCCAGCCCACCCAGGCCCTCCCCACCAGGGCTAAGAGCGGTGTTCTCAACTAGTTCCAGCAACCCTGCTGGCAAGCACATCACCTGTGTCCCTCTTAACAAATGAGGAAATTGAGGCTCAGAGAAACGACTCGCAGGTGCAAAGGCAGGAACTCACAGCTTGGGGGCATCACAGGGATGAGCATGCTGCTGGTCTTCCTCTGCCTCCTCCTCTTCCTTCTCATCCGAATCTGAGTAGAGCTGGAGGAGGTCATCCCGCAAGTTCACCTGGTGTCTGAGGTGTAAAATCTGGCAGGAAGAGAGAGGAGCCATGGGCTGGGAGTGGGTAGGGGCAGGAGAGGGTCCTGGCATGAGGTGGGTGTAGACTGGCCCCCTATCCTCTCCTCCCCACCCAGTTACCTCCTCCTTGGCTGAGCCCAGCAGGGCTTGCTGTTCTCCTCCATCAAAACACTGTTCTGTTGCACCAGGGACTGGCCGATTCGAGCTGCAGTGTTCAGGTCCCTCTCTCTGCAGAAGGACCATCACCCATAGGTAATGCTCTCCCGGTGTCTGGGATCTCCCAGACAGGTGGGAGAAGCTGGTGGGAGGCGGACACAGGGGTCAGAGGGAGGCTAGGCCCCTAAGAGAACCCTCCCTATCCCCTAGTTCACTAGGGTACTAGACCAGAGTCTGCCATTAACCCACTGTGGAACCTGACTCAGTTTCCCCTCATGGAAAAAGAAGATCAGACCAGATTGGCTCTGAGAGCTCTTCCAGCCTGAACATCCCACATCGACCTGTCTTCCATAAGGACCCTTACCTGGGCCCCCAGAAAGACTACCAATCAGGAAATAAACAAGACCCCCACCCCTACAGGACAGAATTAGAATAAGGGCCTGCCTGAATCAGGAAGGCAGTACACACCTCCTGCAGCAAATATAACATCACTTTGACGTCTTCCTGGGTAATCTTTTTGACTGGCGGATGTAGGTTAGGACACAGTGCTGCAGGAGGAGGCAGGTGGGGAGAAAAGGCCCAGCCAGGTCAGCAAAAAGGAGCAGATGCTACCAGCAACCAGCTGTTTCCCATCCTATACTCAGTTCTCCAACAAGCATCATCAGGAGAGAAGAATGGGCTTCCCTCCTGCCCCCAACATCCTTCCCTTACCCCTCGGCACTCAACACTCCTTTCCCTGCTCCCAGGGCCAAGTGGACTGGGTTTTGGGTTTTTTGTTTTGTTTTGTTTTTATGAGACAAAGTCTCGCTCTTACCCCCCAGGTTGGAGTGCAATGGCGTGATCTCGGCTCATTGCAACCTCTGCCTCCCAGATTCAAGCAATTCTCCTGCTTCAGCCTCCCGAGTACCTGGGGTTATACACGCCCGCTTTCTTGTTCCTCTTCTGCCTCGTGGCGGGTGTGTATAACCCCAGCCACCACGCCCAGTTTATTTTTGTATTTTTAGTAGAGACAGGGTTTCACTATGTTGGCCAGGTTGGTCTCGAACTCCTGACCTCATGATCCGCCCCCCTCGTCCTCCCAAAGTGCTGGCTGGGATTACAGGCGTGAGACCATGCGCCCGGCTTTTTTTTTTTTTAAAACCCCTGGAGAAGCCTGAAGTGAGTGAGTCACAGTCCTCCAGGCTCAGAAACTGGGCTCTCCAGACACCTGGGTCCCTGGCGCCTCGGAGAATGGAGCCAGCCAGAGGAAGTATAGCCTCAGACTGGCTCATCACCCCCTACCCAGAAGGCAGTGCAATGGAGTCTCCTGGGTCAAACAGACGCAGCCACTTACCCTGCACCTGTTGCGTGTGCAGAGGACAGGAGAAAGACTTCACCAGATTAGGGGACACTCGAGCCTCTAGGCCCAATCCAGGGATCTCCCCCGACCCGCAGGAGGATAGAAGGAGAGAAGGGGCGGGGAGAAGAGCGCGACCTTGCCCCCATACCCGCAACCAAAAAGTGGGCAGAACACCCCCCTCCGCGCACCCGCCCCTCCATCGCACGCAAGCCCGGTCGGCCAGCGCGGGCAGCGCCCTCCCGCAGCCCCCCGCCCCTCTCCTGGCACTGCGGTAGATCCGGGAGAGGGGCGCTGAGGAGGGGCAGATCTGCTGCAGCAAGAGGCGCGTGGAGGCGGGTGGACTAGCGCGCAGGCCCCAGGACCTGACTCACGGGCACAAACCAGGGGACAAAAGCGGAGGAGGAGATGGGGAAGGGGTGACCAGACAGATGCCGCAGTGACATCGCGGGGGTGGTGGACGAGTGACACTGAATGCCAGAGGGGGCGGGGCGCCTGGACCCGATGGGGCCACTTCCTCCCTGGAAGTACCCCAGTCCCCACGCCGTCCAGGACCCCGGGGGCCCGGTTTACCTTCCTCCAGCTCCCGAATAAAGGCGGCGCGCTCAGGGCCGGACACCCCGGGTCGCCGGCCAAAGTAGGCGGCTGGTGTCTTCCAGATGCCCACTGCCTTTCCAGTCCCCAGGCCAGTGGCCCGGGAACCAAACGGCCCTTGGAATACCAAGCGGGCCCACGGCGCGTCCGAATTGTTGGGCACAGACCGGACATCCCCTTGGATGGCCGAGAATGCAGACGGGCGCCGGGCTCCTGCCTTGACTCCAGCCTCGGAGGCCGGGCGAGCTCCAGTGCCGGCTTCCGAGAGGACTTGGGATCCAGAGGCAGCTCGGGATCCTGCTCTCTGTCCAGTGCCCCGTGCCTGCGGCTGCGCAGAGGGCTCCAGAGCGGGACTGGCTGAGGGCGAGGGTGCACAGGTGAGTGCTGCTGGGTCCCCGGGTCCGGGTCCGAGTCCGGGTCCGGGTCCGGGTCCCGGCCGGCTCCCAGCGCAACCCCTCCCGGACACCTTCGGACGCATCTTGAGTCCGCTGTCAGCTGTAGCGGCGGGACCTTTATAACCTGCGCCAGCCGCCGGGCCGGACCACGCGTAGGGGTGGGGGCTGCCGAGAAGCAACTAGTGGCAAGCGGGACTCAGAGCCGCGCGGGAGAGGAGCTAGTGGTGACGGAATAGAGCACAGTAAGAAAAGGAGGGCAAGAAGGGCGAGTGCAGGTTCCGGATGGCTCCGAGTTGGGATGGGAGCGAAAGACTTCTTCTCCCCTCTCCATCTCCGGAGAATGGTTCTGCCCAAAGCCGCGGCTGCCCCCGGACTCGCGGGACCCCGGCTGGGGGCGGTCCCTCCCCTGCTCCCGCGCCAGGGTTTCAGGTGCTTCCCTGGTGTAGAAGCTGCCAACCCAACGTTGTACATACGGTCTGGGGTGGCCAGTGCATTAGGGCAGCGCTGCGTCTTTCCCGGTTGACTGGGAGAGATATTCCAAGCTCCAGTGCGCTTCCAACGTGCTGCCCCGCCCGGCTCTGCAACCCTGACCCTTGCGCTCACACCCCAGTGCTCGCGCCTCTCGACATCTTCCATTTGATTGGATTAACTAGTTCTTCACCTCCAACCCTAATTCGCTTTGCCCTCCTCTTGCCATCCTGGCGAACCCCTGTTCTCCTTGGGAGACGCCGCTTAAAAGTATCCCTGTACCCAGGCGCAGTGGCTCACGCCTGTAATCCCAGCACTTTGGGAGGCCGGGGCAGGCGGATCACCTGAGGTCAGGAGTTCCAGACAAGCCTAGCCACATGGCGAAACCCTGTCTTTACTAAAAATACAAAAATTAGCCGGGCATGATGGCGTGCGCCTGTAGTCCCAGCTACTCAAGAGCCTGAAGCAGGAGAATTGCTTGAACCTGGGAGGTAGAGGTTGCAGTGAACCGAGATCGTGCCAATGCACTCCAGCTGGGGCTACAGAGCAAGACTCCCCCCTCAAAATAAATAAATAAATAAATAAATAAATAAATAAATAAATAAATAAAATTAAAAACATTTTAAAGTATCCTACTGGAAATGTTGGGTAGACAATTAGATGTATAATCCTGAGTGTAGAGGAGAGTCCGGACTGGAGATTTAAATGTAGGAGTCATTGCTCTTTGATGGCCATTTAAGGCTGAGACTGGGTGAGATTCCCCAAGAGACTGAGCGAAGACAGATAAGAGCGCCCAGGATAAACCCCCCTAGGATTCAGAGGGCAGAAAGAGGAGGAGGAGGCATCAAAAAGAAGACTGGGATGAGTGGGGCAGTGAAGTAGAGGAAAACCAGGAAAGTTGGGTCCTAGAAAGTAAAGAAAATGTTTCACGTGGAGAGTGGCCACCAGTGTTGGGTGGTGCTGCTGGTCAAAGACTGAGGATAGAGACTCGGCTTGGCAAACCCGGGTCATGGCAAGACCCTTGGCAAGAGCGGTCTTGCGGGGCCAGGCACAGTGGCTTACACCTGTAATCCTAGCACTTTGGGAAGCCTAGGCGGGTGGGTTGCCTGAGGTCAGGAGTTCGATACCAGCCTGGCCAACATAGTGAAACTCCGTCTCTACTAAAAATACAAAAAGCTAGCTGAGCATGGTGGTGGGTGCCTGTAATCCCAGGTACTTGGGAGGCTGAGGCAGGAGAATCGCTTGAACCTGGGAGGCAGAGGTTGCAGTGAGCCAAAATTTCGCCATTGCA